CTCCTAAGAACCACCAACAAGCTCCAAGATGTGGACCTGTGGATACAAATTCCCAATTGTGTCTTTTCATCAAAAACACCTGTCTCTTATTGAGGATAAACTATGGTTTATGACACTTCAAGGAACCTCCCAGGTTCTATCCTGGGAGGACTCAAGCAGTAAGGAGCAGCAAGCAAGCCTAGCTGTTCCACAGCACAAAGCCCAGAGCTAGCGCAGGCCAGACACCCCCAGGAGAACAGGTCTGACCACCTTCTTGAGAAGGGTATAAAGTCAGTCCCCTGGAGACCCTGAAGAGCAAGGGGCTTCAAAATTTCTCTCTGAAATACTCACAAAGATTACCTTGAAACAAACACCAAAACGTTTTTCATGCCGCCAACTCACATGCCCCCACGCCAGGAATGATTTCCTAAGCTCATCCTCACCTTAACAAGTCTTCAAGAGAATAGTAAAAAATCACCCGATAAAACCAAATCTCAAGAATTCTAGGGAAGGGCGCCTGGGTGGCTCAGTTGGTTAAGCGACTGCCTTTGGCTCAGGTCATGATCCTGGAGTCCCGGGATCGAGTCCCACGTCGGGCTCCCTGCTCATCGGGGAGTCTGCTTCTCCCTCTGACCCTCTTCCCTCTCGTGTTCTCTGTCTCTCATTCTCTCTCAAATAAATAAAATCTTAAAAAAAAAAAAAAATTCTAGGGACGCCTTCATCAACTACATTTGCGATCCAAGTCAAGCTACGAGTTAATTCAATTAATCCAAAGAAATCTAATTTTGTCTCTTTCTACCAGACAAGCAGTATAGAAAGAGCATGGGATTGAACAGTCAGAAGACATAGCTCCAGCCCCTGCCGGCCGCCTTCCACATATAACTGCCTCTGTGAACACAGGTGCTCCATGAACGGGAGTGCGTCATTCTTCCGATTCCTCAGCCACTGGCTTTAAGCCTGATAAGCAGGGGTGTTCTGGAGCCTCACACGAGGAGACCTGTGGGACCAGCTCTGCCACACGGTACCAGAAACCACAGGAAGGAAGGCGAGCAAGGCCTGGCGACCCTGGATGCCCATTTCCCATCACCTAATGAGCACTCCCAGACCGAAGAACTTAGACAGTGGTTATGTTCACCCTCCAGGGTCACCCACCACCCACCAAAGGCAAAGGGGGCCAAAGAACTTTTGGTAACACAGCCTAATACAGACACTCCCATTAGGCTGTAATAGTATCAGCTTGTGCCTCCAAGAAAGCTTCGAAAAATCACCTAACTCCAATTCAAGTGGTTACTCCTCTTTCTCAGTGTGGGACAAGAACACAAATGAAGAGCAATTTCATCTAATTAAGCAGTTTTCCCTCCAGTTCTCTCTGTTCCCATCATTTATTCTGACACAGCTACATGAAGATTTTTCCCTTGCTTTCCCTCAATCCATGGAGATGTTATTCTAGGCTCTAAACTAAATGGCTGATATACAGACAAACCAAACCAAGCCCACCTGGCACGAATGAAGCCGCCATGTACCGTACATCTCATCAGAGCAAACACCACTGGCGGCAGAGACTGCACTGCCCCACGGTTGTGTGACACTCAACAACGTCTGTTCCCCAACACTTACACCTTGAGCCCAGGGGAGTCTTCTGTGTAGAATCGCCACATGCCCCCAGTGCCTGCTGAGGTTGTGCGCCCCGCGCTCCTTGTTCCACAGCTCGCATTTTTTCTGGAAGAAATATTACAAAAAGCTTTTTCTCGGAAGCCCCTTACCATAGCATTATAACATATGCTACTACTACGTTGTTAAAGAACCAAAAATAAAAACAAAACGAAACGGAACCCTCTCCCCTGCAGAAAAACACTTTCTTTGCCAGATCCCCCAAATTCTTGCTTTTACTCCACTGATCGTGATAACCACTGAGGACTGAATACCTGCCACATGCTAATGAATACAACCACCCCAGAAAGTAGTCACCATTTCCAATGTATAAATGAAGAAAATGGGCTCATAAAAGGTGAAGTAAAGTGCCTAGGACCACACAGCCAGCAGGCAGCCAAGCTCAGCAGTGAACCCAGTTGTCTCTGGAGCCCAACCACTTGCCCACACATATGGGCATCTCATTTGAACAATGAATTTGTTTCTCTTCACATGTATTCTTGTGAAGTCAAGTAATAAACCCTTGCTTAAAAAGCCCTGAATCCATATACTTGATTTTAAAATGACTACTTAAAATGTTTTTCAGTTACTGTATATACTACAAAAAAGACAAAAACAATTAAGCTTTTGTTGTAATCCAGGTCCTAAAATGGAGCATACATTTTATAAAAAATTATTTTGTGCTCTGTTTTCACTATTTTGATATACTGGCCATAGATCTTGGGCAGAGGTAGGATGACATGTCCCTCACAGGGGCTCCAGGTCTGTGAGATGAGCTGCATGACACAGGCAGCCCAGGTGCCCAGAAGTAGCCCAACAGCACTTGTGCCATCCACCAGGGCACGCAGGGAGAATCTAGAAGTGAAAACCCTATTACCACCATCTCTTCCCACTGCCCTTCCAACTCGGGTCATAATCCTCACCTCCCCCTGCCGTGGCCTTTACCCCAAACTCTAGTGCAGACACATTGATTACTGGCTACAAAGTGGCCCAGGAACTCCTAAGTCCATACGTACGGCTGTTTTTATGAGATAACCGATAGCAAATAGTAAACGTAATTGTACAGGGATTTACACAGCAATTCATACACTTAGAAGAGCCTTCACACACAAGGATATACATATTTAAGTTGTGAGGTAGGTACCTGAAATTTTCTTCCTTGTTCATAAAAAGGAACTTGAGCTAGATGGTAAACCCAGTGTGGACATGGTAAGTCATTAGCTGAGCCAGGACTAGGACCCACACACTTTCCACTATTCCCACAGCCTCCCAACTGCAGCGGTTGGTCTCAAAGTCCCTTGGAATTACAGGAGCCCCAGAGAAATCAGTCTAGGCTCTTTAAGATTTCTTACACCTACTGGCACATGGGGCAATGCAGGGGATTTGATAATCAGGGCACCTGGAAATACCAAATGTACTCAAAATATCTCCCATTCCTCCACTGGAAAGCCAGGTAGAAGTTAACAGAGCCCATTTAATCTCTTAAATTTCTATTAGGGGTCTATTTTACCCTTTCTTTCTGGCCACAGTGTAACTGCCTCCCTGTTCCTATACCCTACAGTTCCTTCAAAAATCCCGAGACTATAGGGTGGCTTGATTCCTTCATTTATTCTGTCAGGTCTTATAGTAGGATACAGATGTTTGGTCATTTCTGTCAAAATCTAATGAAGGAGATAAATATGGAAACATGAATGCTCTTATAGCCCCAAGAACAAAATGCTGTGGGAGCCAAAGAGAAGACTCACAGCTACTGCTGCTTTCCAAGTCAGGGAAGGCCTCAAGAACCCCTGAGCTTAGTCTTGCAGAATAAACAGAAGTGGGGGGAGGGGTCGTCTAATGAGTTCAACAGTAATAAGCTCACTGTTGCTGGATCACCAGAGAGGAGAGGCAGCTGGGCTGAAATAACACCAAGACCACTGGTATCCACCCCTCTTCTTCTTCTTCCCTTTTTTTTTTAAAGTTCAGCAACAAGAAATTGAGATAGAAACTAAGAAGATGTGTGACAGAATCAGAGGGGAAGGCAGGTTGGAGTGGAAACGACCTGGAGAGAAGACTTAGGTAGGAAATGCAAATGTCTAGATGAGAAAAGTTGGGGTAAACTGGAACGGTGGACACGAAAAAGGAAACAACCGACGAGAAGTTTTTTGTGTGCCATTCGGTCTTGCAAATGAGTCAACAAAGACAGAGCATAAGAAAAATTCACGACCACCCTTAAATTTTCGCCTTGGGTAAATGAATATATAGTAGTAGTGCCAGATGGAAGGGAGATAAAATTGGGGCAGAAGTTAGGATGAAAAGGAGACTGAGTTTTCCATTGGACAAGTCATGTTGGACTGAGTGTGAGGGGACCTGCAGATCAAAATGTGACTGCAAAGCTTAGGTCCAAACACACCTGTTTAATGACATCAGTTTTCTCAAAGTTGTCTCTGATCCCACTCCAGTTTGTTAACTTTCCTTTTTCAAGAGAGGTGCCCCAAACTGCGCAATTCGAAGAAAACGTTGCCTCCCTCTCGAGACACACTAGACCTACGGCCACGTCGCCTGAGGTTCAGTTTGCCCTTGTGACTCTTTTCAGCCCGGGGTCTCCTTCTCCGGACGAGCGAATTCCTGGGCACCATCTCTCCAAGCCCACAGCCAGAGGGTCGCGGGGCTCCTTACCTCTGCCGGACCGTGGATCCAGCCGCCCGGGCGGCCACTGCTTTGCTGGGTGAGCGCCCCGACGAGCCCACATTAGTGCCACTGGGGGTCGGACCAGGCTACAGAGAGAAACAAGTAGATAGGCGAGTGAGCGCCCCCGGCACGCCCCCAGACCCCGGCCCCCGGCCCTGACGGCCAAGACCAGCACCTGCAGGGGAGGCTGGGGAAAGCAAGGCAGCCACAAGAGGAGAGCAAGGCGGAAGGCCAGTGTCAGGGCCAAGAGGAGAGGCGGGACCAAAAAGGGAAGGCTGGGGCCGCCGTACCATGCTGAAGACTGGAAGGCCCTGGAGGATGAAACTGACGCCCAAGAAGCGGACGGTGGAGTCCTCAAAGGACCGGCGGCTGGAGAGGCTGGCTCAGGCCCCGCCCTCAGGCCCCTCGCAGGGTCCTCGCCGGCTCCAGGGACGCCTGAGTTGTCCCACCATATGCCTGTACAAATGACAAGAGATTTGGTCAGCCGCTGTGTGGGAAGTACAGACCTTCCGTCTCCTTTCTTTGAATCGCAGCATCCTTCATAGAATCCTATCCCTACCAAAAAGAGGATATAGGTACGGTCAGATGGGAAATTTCTTCTGGCAGACACTGGGCGCCTGCAGATTTGCGCTGATGTGGCCTAACTGACGCAAGCGCCGCGAGGCGTGGTCGGCCCCGCAGAGGCCCGCTGGGAGCCGGGAAGGAGCATGCGCGGAAGCCCGGTAGGGCGCGGGCCGCTAGCGCGGCTCCCCGACCATGGCGAAGAAGCGGGGCCAAGACGAAGACCCCGGTCCCAACCCATCGGTGCTGTTCCTGCACCCGGACCTGGGCATGGGCGGTGCCGAGCGGCTGGTGCTGGACGCGGCACTGGCGCTGCAGGCGCGCGGATGTAGCGTCAAGATCTGGACCGCGCACTACGATCCTGGCCACAGCTTCGCGGACAGCCGCGAGCTGCAGGTGCGCTGCGCCGGGGACTGGCTCCCGCGCAGCCTGGGCTGGGGCGGCCGCGGCGCCGCGCTCTGCGCCTACGTGCGCATGATCTTTCTGGCGCTCTACGTGCTGTTTCTCGGGGACGAGGAGTTCGACGTGGTCGTGTGCGACCAGGTGAGGCGGCCGCGAGTGCGGCCACGCCCGACCCTCGTGTCGCCTCCTTTTCCCGCTAGGGAGGGCGCACTGCGTGGCCCCTGGTGAGCTCTCCCGGCCTGCGGTTCGGAGAGATCGGAACTGATCTGGAGAGAAGAGAACTGGGAGTGAGACTGGTTCTCGAACTTTAGTGTGGACACATTAAAGTTGCACGGTGTTACAGGGCCCCACTCTCAGAAGCTTTCATCCTGGAGTCCTGAGGTGGGGCCCAGAAATCTGCATTTTCGCTGGATCTTCGGGCAGTTCTGAAGTAGATGAGGCTTGGGGCTGCTCTGAGAAACGCAAGCATTAGAAGTCAACCCTAAGTCACCTTTTCCTTCTGAGTAACTTGTAGGTCTTCCCCCTTTGCATTTTGTTGACTCTACTTCCAGGCCACATGCATCTCACTTAGTTTTTGCAGACAGGCCACCTCGTTCGTCCGCGGTGTCGTGTTAAAAACACCACGCGAAACATGTCATGCCCTGTTAAAGCTTTAACATGGCTCCCTGTTAGTCTTGGGAGAAGTCAGAGTTCTTTACCTCAGTAAATAATGTCCACCTGCATCTGGGCTCTAGCTGTTTTGGACTCTACGCTTTTTTTCCCCAAAAGTAACTTATTTTAAAAAGTAACATCTACTCAGAACAAAAATTCAAATAGTATAAAAGAGTGTAATGTAGAAGTCCCATCCCAGTTCCACTCCCTAAAGATCGCCACTGTTAGCAGTTTCTCCTGTATCCTTCCAGAAGTTGCCTGTAGCTGCAGTAGCATATGCATCCGTTCTCAGATGCATCTTATTTGTAATAATGAGGACTATGACACACCTACTATTTGATAACTTGTTCTTTTTTTCACCAAAATTCCTGTTTGGGACATCCTTATATATCAATATTAGAGATTCACTTCATGGTTCTCAATGATTGCTGGAAAATCTGCTTTTGTTTAAAAGTACCATAATTTATACATTCTCCTCTTAAAGGACACTCATTGTGACCGATTTTTTGCAAATAGGATTGTAATGGACATCCTCGTACCTTTTTTCTACTTCTGTCACAATGTCCTTTGAGTAAATTCCTAGAAATCGTGCCTGAGAGTTTAAATGTCAATGGCTATTGCCAAATTTGCCTTTCAAAGAGGTTGTGTCATTTTGCTCTCCCACAGGGTATGACAGATCCTGTTAATTCCATGCTCTTGTGCACAATGGATGCTATAAACCGTCTTAATCTTTGCCAAACCGATGGGTGGAAACGGTTTCACATTTGTATTTGTGCGCTTCTTTATTATTCCTGAGTTAGTTTGATCCTCCTTGCTTGTACAGAAGCTGTTTCTTTTTAAGAAATGTGGACATTTCAAAACATCCTGCATTTGTAGCTAGTTATTAAGTATGAGGCGGCTGAGACTAGTAAATAGAAAAAACCCTGAGCTTGGAAGTAGGAGACCTGAGTTTCGTTCCAGATCTGCTACTTTCTAAGAAGCTTCTGATAAATCTGGCAGGATTCTTCAAGTGGTAAGTGAGCTAGAGATTAAGTAATTTGTAAAGATTACCCAACAAGAACGTCTCTAGTAATGCCGGCATGTAGTTCATGCTTAGTAACGATTATGGTTAACACTTACTGAGCACATGCTGTGTGCTAAATTCTGAAGCATTTTACACATAGTGGTACATTTAATAATCACAAAACAATCAGGAGTTTTTTGAACTACAGTTGTCACCGCGTTACAGAAGAGAAAACTGAGGCACAGAGGGAGGTAAGATTAACTTGCTCATGGTCGCACAGCCAGCAATCTTCATTCCAGAGCCTGTACTCCAGTTCCTTAGAAGAAGAAACATGCTAGAGCTGCCCTGTCCAGTAGGGTAGCCTCTAGGCACCTGTGGCTATTAAGCACTTGAAATGTGGCTAGTCTGAACTGAGATGCGGTGTGAGTGTAAATTACACATCTGATTTTAAAGATTTAATGTAGAAAAGTAGAATGTAAAGTGTCTCAGTAACTTTTTTGATAATGATTACATTTTGAAATGACAATATTTTAGATAAATATTTTTTAAATTTCACCCTTAAAAAATGTTGTCATGTGGTTACCAGATTTTTATTTTCATTGGACCATGCTGTTCTAGAGGAAACCATTGGACTTGCAGCTTTAAATATTTAGCACACAGCCCACAGATGTGTACAAGCCTTTCATTACACCAGGGATTGTATTGGGTGAGAGTCCAGGGGAACACAAAGCAGAATCGGGCATTGCCCATGATGAGGTCCACAGACCAGCAGGCAGGGTGGGCGGGCATGCTTTTGACTTGGTTGAAGTTGAGTTGACCAGTCTGTATCTGCTGTTGATTTTTGCTTCGGCTAGGTGTCTGCCTGCATCCCAGTGCTCAAGCTGGCCAGACGGCCCAAGAAGATCCTGTTTTATTGTCACTTCCCAGATCTGCTTCTCACCAGGAGAGATTCTTTTCTGAAACACTTATACAGGGCCCCAATTGACTGGATAGAGGAATACACCACAGGCATGGCGGACTGCATCTTAGTCAACAGCAGGTTTACAGCTGCCGTTTTTAAGGAAACATTCAAGTCCCTGTCTCACATAGACCCCGATGTCCTCTACCCATCTCTGAATGTCACCAGCTTTGACTCCACTGTTCCTGAAAAGCTCGATGACCTCGTCCCCAAGGGGAAGAAATTCCTGTTCCTCTCCATCAATAGATACGAAAGGAAGAAAAACCTGACTTTGGCACTGGAAGCCCTAGGAAAACTGCGTGGAAGGTTGACTTCCCAGGACTGGGACAAGGTTCATCTGATCATGGCAGGTGGTTATGATGAAAGAGTCCTGGAGAATGTGGAACACTATCAGGAATTGAAGGAAATGGTCCAGCAGTCCGACCTTGGACAGTGTGTGACCTTCCTGCGGTCTTTCTCAGACACACAGAAGATCGCGCTCCTCCATGGCTGTACCTCTGTGCTTTACACACCAAGCAACGAACACTTTGGCATCGTCCCTTTGGAGGCCATGTACATGCAGTGCCCGGTCATTGCCGTGAATTCGGGTGGGCCCTTGGAGTCCGTCGTCCACGGCGTCACAGGGTTTCTGTGTGAGCCTGACCCAGTGCACTTCTCAGAAGCGATGGAAAAGTTCATCCACGAGCCTTCCCTAAAAGCCACAATGGGACTGGCAGGGAGAGCCAGGGTGAAGGAAAAGTTTTCCTCTGCAGCTTTTACAGAACAGCTCTACCAGTATGTCACCAAACTGCTGGTATAATCCCACTTTTTAAAGGCCTGTATGCTGTATTCATTAGTACCATTTTTTTGTAGACCGTAGCCTCACTTTTGAAACCGAAAAAGAAACGGTCCACTGCAGAAGCGATTAAAAGAAAAATAAACTTGAATCTTGAATCTGAGCCACTTTCCTATGCACAGCGCCTTTCCATCTACTTTTTCAGAAAAATGAAATCTTTTATGCTATAATTATTCCATGTCTTCATCAAAAAACTTCAGTTATATTTTCTCTAGGGTACTGTTGCTTTGCCTTACTTGGCACGCTGTAGTTTAAGCGTATCATCATTAAAGTCGATTAATTTGGGTTCATAGCATAATGAGAACAGGGTCACTGTAGTACCCAAAATCAATGCACCTAAGCGTTTACTATCCTCTGTTTGGAAATTTTTGTTAGTCATACCTTTGCCTGGATCCATAGCAAAAATGTTCTGTACTTTTTTACAAAGATTTATTATATTTTTGCACACTGAGATGTGACAATAAAATATGGTTATCATAGGAAAAGAAAGCATACTAGATTTGGGCCTCTGTGATCTGTTTGGTATTGTTAGGATTGTGGATAGCCAAGCCTGAAGTCTGAAACTAGAGTAAACCAGATGTTGAAGTAAGGGGACATCCGTCACTCATGGGTGTGCCTCTTACGTATGTTTGCTTTCTTGGTGTCATCTGAGTCATCGGCTTTGTTAATGTTGGTGTTTGGTTAAGTAAGCTCCTACTAGTGTAAGACACAATTGCTTTGTGTCCTTCAAGCCCTGCCTCAGATGCCATGGCTGTGGAGCTTTCCTTGACCCTCTCTTCTCCTTCCAGCCTGCGTGTGGTTTTCCTCTTCATGGATCCTAGCCCTTTTGTGGCACCGACCAGTCTTACAGTTCCTTACTCAACCTGTTGGCCTAAGTACAAATAGACATAAAGCACTTTTCAACATATCTCTACAGCTAAATTCTTTTTTTTTTTTACCATTTTTTTTTTAAAGATTTTATTTATTTGACACAGAGAGGGGGAACACAAGCAGGGGGAGTGGGAGATGGAGAAGCAGGCTCCCCGCGGAGCAGGGAGCCCAATGCGGGGCTTGATCCCAGGACCCTGGGATCATGACCTGAGCCAAAGGCAGACGCTTAACGACTGAGCCACCCAGACGTCCCTTTACCATATTTTTTTATTCCAGCCCTACGTGGGACTTGAACTCACAACCCCAAGATCAAGAGTCCCATGTTCTACCAACTGATGGAGTCAGCTGCCCCAAAAGCTAAATTCATTTTTTAAAAAAAGAGCGATGATCACTAGCCAAAGGCTCCACATTCATCAATTCTAAGAGTATAGACCTGAGAGCTTAACAGCCTATGTGACCTTGGACAGATTACTTCATTTCTGTGCCTCAGCTTCATCTGATATAATATTCTACATTCTTCATAGAGTAGTTATGGCAGATTACCATAATATATGTAAAGTACTTAAAACAGTACTTGGCTCATGGTATGGGCTATATAAATATTAGCTATTTTGTAATTTGGGGATATTGAAAACCTGTAGAAATTCCATGTGGGTTCACGTTGCACTACTATTTTGTTCTTTGGGTTTTTTTTTTTTTAACAGAATGAAACTTCAGGTTGTAATATATCACATTAGTCTATATCACAGAAGTATTTTATGAAATGAAATGACTAGTGAAAAGGAGCTCTCTAAAACGAGAGTCAAATATATTGTCTTATGGAATGAAAAGTTGAGTTTGTTTTTCTTTGTCACCGTGAAAGCCTACAGTCCAATAAAGTAGGTCATCCCCATGTTGTGGGTTTTGTATTTTGTGGCTTGGTGCATGTGTTCCCCCAGGGAACTGTAGCCTTTGCAGAAAGGCCTGGTGGCTCTGAGCCCCTGGGTTTAGGACAGACTCAGATCCATAACTGGTGCCTACCCATTCAGAGCACTAAAACTTTTGCCTATTTGACCATTTTTATGCAGATCCTTCCAAAATGGACACCAGGGGCTCATGGGCCTTAAGGTTAGCTTCCCTTCATTGTCTTAAGTCCCAGCCGGGGACACTAAGACCACAGATCTGGGGGAGAGGGTGGGGGAGGGTGGAATGCAGGAGCCTACGTGCCATGAGCTTCCAGCCTCTGATGGATTAACTCCTGGTTCCTAGACCTGGGATGGAGCTTTGCCCATAGGAGGTGTTCACAGCTTCCAAAACTAAGCTGCAATTAGGGAGAACAGAAGCATGGCACACTGAAGTAAATTGTCTGGGACCCTATCAATAGTAATTCTTCTAGCAATTACTGTGTGCTGGGCATGATATGATGAACACAGCAGACAACTCATTTATCCTGAGTTCTGTGAGGTGTATGTATTCTCACCTTTATAGAGGAGCGTGGTTAAGCGGCTTGCCTGTGTCACTCAGCCTGGAGGGTGGGCCGGCTCGAGGCTCTCCAGGTCCAAGTCCACCGCTCGCCAACTCAGTTTGCCTTCGCCCTAACCAAACCCCGGTGGCATTTCTTCCGGGAAACCCTCCACAGCACTGCGGGTGGGCCTCTGGAGGTCCTCAGGGTGAGAAAGCTGTTGCCGGTCATTGCCCCCTCTTCGGCTTCAGGGCAACCTTGTAAGACGGGTGTGTCATCCCCCCTCTCTCATCCACAAGGAAGCTCAGGGAGATGAAGGCCTTGCTCAGGGGCACCCGGCTGAAAAGCGAACGTGCCAGATCCAACGGCAGTGACCCGGCCCGTCTGGCACGCCTCACACCAGGATCTCTCAGCCCGCTGCCCTTCGGTGACCGTAAATATGGCAGCCTCCGAGTCTGCGGAGCTCTTTCCAGGTTGTGTCCTTGGCTCTTCACAGGATCCTTGCAGGCAGTTCTCGCAGTGGAGTTCGCAGGGGGCGGCTGAGGCCTACAGGCGGGAAGCCCCGGAGCTGTAGCTCCACCCCGGCCCGCCGAGGCTGGGTCACGGTGCCGGGCAGCAGATGCCTCTGCGGTGCGCGCTTCGCCGCCTCTAACCCGCCGGTGTCCAGCCGCACCTGCGCCGCCTCGCCCGCCGCTTCGAACCTCGGGAAGATGAGGCGCCCGAGCCAACACCTCGCCGGCCTGCTCTCCGCTCAGCGCCTGCCGTCCGTTGGCCTCCCCCAGCATCGCCGACGACCCCGTGACCTCCTTTCTCTGCATTCCCGACTCCCAGCGTCCAGTCCGCTCCGGGGTCACCCAGCCTACTTTGCTTACACAAAACGGAGCCCTCCCCGCCCAAAACCAGCGGGACCCGCGTGAGGTCCTGCAGGGGCACTGTAGCTCTCCTCAACTTCTTAGGGAAGCCCCTCACATCCCCTGCACTTTTATCAAAGCCCCTCATCTCCTGCCCCTTCCTTTGAACCCCTTATTTCTTCATCCCTCACCGCAGCGCCGCCGGCGCGTGCGGGTGCCGCATCCAGACGCCAGGGCCATGCCTGCGAGCCGGGGCTGGGGAGCTCTCCGAATGACAGGCTCGGCTTCCGGCTGGCCTCCCGTCACACAGCAGCCCTCGGGAGGGAGGCGCGGGACGGGTTTTACCCTCCTGACTCCTGAGCCCAGGCGCTGCTGGCGCCAGCACTCCGCCCCCGTCCTGTCCCCGTCCCCGTCCCCCCCCCCTCCCCCGCCCCCTCCCCGTCCCCGTCCTGTCCCCGTCCCCGTCCTGTCCCCGTCCCCGTCCCGTCCCCGTCCC